GTTAGAAGCATTGCTATTTCTCAGTTTGTCCAACTTTTACTCATCATTAGGACAAAGTGGTGATGTCTAAACTCCATATCCATGGAACCCATCCCACATGAATTTATTTCCTTTTACTGCCCTTATGTAGCTGTATAGGAGCAAGGCATGCAGGGAGAAAGGCATCAACGTTTGGCAGAGATGAGTGGAAGGGTTAAGTAGGATCATGGTAGAATGATGTCAACAATGATGAGTTCTATCATCATAAATCTAAAGAAAAGAACAAAGGTTTCCAAACAGGGTGAGTAACAAAACCCATGGCAAGGATGAGACACAGAAGATTTTTTTCTGGAAAATATTCAAATTTTGACTTGAAATATCACTCTCAAAGGAGGTTTTATGTATCAGTTGTAGTTAATGAGCTATGCCAGCACAGTCGAAAGATCTTCCACTTATAAGTTAATATTGTACTTTCTGAATATTAAACCAGAAACACTAAATCTATTGGAAGAGAAAGTAGGTAAAAACCTCGAAGACATAGGGGTAGGCAGAGAGTTCATGAATAAAAACCAAATTGCACGTGAAACACTTGAAAGAATCAACAACTGGGATCTCATCCTACTGAAAAGTTTCTGCACATCTAAAGAAATCACCAGCAGAGTCAAAAGAAAACCAACAAACTTGGAAAAAATTTTAGCTGATTGTCCCTCAGACAAAGGGCTTCTATCTAGAACATATAAAGAACTAAAAAATTTCAGCCCCTCCAAATTCAAAGACCCAATCCAAAAATGGGCAGCTGAGATGAACACACATTTCTCAGACAAGGAGATACAAACGGCAAATAAATATATGAGAAAATGTTCAACATCAACATCATTAGTCATTCGAGAAATGCAAATTAAAACAACACTAAGATTCCACCTTACCCCAGTAAGAATGGCTAGCATTAAGAAATCAACCAATAACAAATGCTGGCGAGGCTGTGGAGAAATAGGAACCCTTCTCCACTGCTGGTGGGAATGCAGACTGGTGAAACCACTGTGGAAATCAGTTTGGAGATTCCTCCGAAAACTAGGTTTAGAGGTCCCATTCAACCCAGCTATCCCCCTGCTGGGTATTTTCCCAGAAGATCTAAAAACATCATATCACAGTGATATATGTGCACCTATGTTCATAGCAGCACAATTTGTAATTGCTAAAATGTGGAAGCAACCCAAATGTCCATCCACTGAGGATTGGATAAGAAAATTATGGTACTTTTATATAATGGAATATTACTCAGCTGTAAAGAAAGATAAACTCGAGGCCTTTATATTTAAATGGTCACAACCAGAGACCATACTCATAAGTGAAATAAATCAAACATACATGTGCAAGCACCGCATTGTGTCACTAGTGTAAAACTTGAAAGAGTTAATTTAAACTCGGAGGTATGATAGACACTGTGAAATGATAGGAAACCACCGAAGAGTAAAGGGCTTCTGGGATGTGGGAAAAGAGAAGGGAAAGAAGGAGAAATTTTGTATGTATGTATATACAGGATAGATAACATGGTTGTTCTTCTATCTGCTGTTTCTATGCTGAAAGAAACTGTCAATGAGTCTTTGGTTGACCAGTATTGCATGTCTATATCTGTTTTCATGAGAAGCCACTTTGAAGATATCAATATGTAATACAACCACCATTGTTAATTCCCTACCACTTTGTTTGTAACTCTGTATTGTCTGTATTGTGCTTGTGATATGTTGTAAAATGTTGTATGTCTGTTAATGTTTCCCTCCTTTTATCCTTAAAATAAAATAAAAAAAAATATTGTACTTTCTGGATCATACTATACTGTACTATGATTTTAATAATTTCTGCAATTATCTTACCAATAACATAGTTACATTGTTTTATACTTTTTATACCTAAAAAGCCATTACCCTGTACTTATATTTAAGTGGAACCATAATTGTTATAACTTCTGTTTTCATTTTTATTTTAAAAACCTTAGAAATTGAGGTCCTTCCTGATCACTGAGAATGGCTGCACTTGGTACACAAGTTTGTACCTTAGAGGGAAGCATCAGCAGATATCAGGGAGCAAGGTGAGACTCACAGGGACCACAGTCAGGTTTTCTTTGGCAACACTGAGATCATTGGAGGTCATGACCAGACAGAGGGGTCCTAGCACATGGACACAGGCTAGAATTGGCCTATGTCTCGGTTAGCACCTCCTGCCATGCTATGGCCTGAGTGTTTGTGTTCCCCTGAAGCTCATATACTAAGATGCAATCCCCAATGCAATAGTATTAGGAGGTGTAACCTTTTCAAAGTGATTAGGGCAGGTTATGAAGGGGATTAGTGCCCCTTTATAAAAGAGATCCCGGGGCTGGAGATTTAGCTCAGCGGCACAGTGCCTGCCTGGCAAGCACAAGGTCCTGTGTTCGATTCCTGGTACTGGAAAAAAAGAGAAGATCTGTTAAAAGAGTCCCCAAGGAAATTTATCTGCCTCTTTAGTCACATGAGAGGTCAGGAAGAAGGCACCACCAATGAGTCCAAGAGTGAGCCTCATTGGATACTGAATCTTCTGCTGCCTTGTTCTTTTACTTCTCAGGCTCTAGAACTATGAGTGATAACTTTCTGTTCTTTATAACTCACTCAGTCTGAAGTATTTTTTTATAGCAGTCCAAACAGACTGAGACACTGCATGACAGAGGCTTTTGGGGAATGCCTGAGTTCTTAGGTGTTTCACCTTCTAAAGCAATTTATGTTTCTGCCTGTGGGTAGGAAATGTATTTGTTTCATAATTAGTCCATGAATTTTGAGGACTGGTTGGTATGAGATAATAGGAGGGATGGCCTCTAGATTAGGAAATGCATTTAATATAGTGAGACTATAGTGAGATATTCAGGTAAAACTACATCATGAGGTTATTTTCAGGGTCTACATCAACCTAGAGCTGTATATGATCACTTACATCAAGACATAAAAAAGAACACATTACATGAGGAGAAATTGTCATCAGCATGTAACTAATATGGGGACAGGAATGTAATGCACAACAAAACAGCAGATAGAACCATGAAGGGAGATCATTTGCTGCATCTGTCTCCCTTCAAAATGGCCCACTTGATGCTAATGGGAATTACTCATCTTAGAAAGGAAAGTGTTACTACTCAGGAGTAGGTCCCTTTTTGGTGACTTCCTGGGCTCATTCTTTTTTTAACATTCATGCCCCCTTATCTCCTGAACAGTTCACCTGTTGTGCCATTTGAACCTGTGGATGGCCAAAAGGGGTGGTGGAGAACAGCTGCCAGAGCAATGTGCTGAGAGTACAAGAGAAGTGGCCTGGGTTTGTGCAGCTCTGGAGCTGAGGTCTGAAGTAAGATGTGCCTAGGAGTAGAGGTTTTGTATGGGCCAAGCGTAAGGAACATCTCCTGAAAAGGTTTGAGGCCAAACTCTCTTTGTGTGTGTGTACAAGTTGAGTGTGGTATCCTATGGGGTGGCAAGGGATCAGCCTGGAAAAGCTTTTAGGACAAGTTCATTAAAAGTCTGTGTACGGGGTAGGGCATGCAGATTTTGAAGAATGCTATGGAAGGAAGTGCCATGGTGAGGCATGCATTCCAGAATGGAATTATGTGGTTTATAGAATTGCAAGAACACAGGGTGAGCCTGGAGACCCAAGTCTGGTTAGAAGGCTGTGGTGGCGGTCAGTGCAGTATTAGCTAAAAGACAGGGTCCCTGCACCCAAACACTCAGTCTACCATGAGTCATTTGCACAATGGAGTGAGGTCAGTATCGACAGAAGCAGGTACACAGCATGAGAAGCACTAATTATGTTCCTACTCTGTATTATTTTAAGTTCCTTCTATCTTTACAATTCTGCATCTCTAGGCTACCCTGCTGTGAAGGGTGATACTATGTTCTGAGCCTCTGGCACAATGAAGAGAAAAAAACCCAGCAAACAACTCAACCCTGGTGGGTGAGGAGTGGAGAGACAGCTGTAGAGACACAACCACCACTGTCTACATGTCGGGGGCATGAGTTACAGATGTGAAAAGAACATGGGGATGGATCTCAGGTACAGGATTTTAAGAGATGAGACCCAAAAGATACATCAGATGTGCTAGGTCCTGCATACACTAGAGAAACAGCTAAAATAACAATACAGAGTTTTAAGGAATAGATATATAACATATATTCCAGTATTGGCAGGCAGCTGGACTCAGGGAATACTGAGGTGCAAGCTTAACCTTATAAAATTCTGAGACAGGGTATCATTAAGTTGCCCAGGCTGGTTTTGAACTCACAATCTTCCTGTCTGGGGATTAGGAGTGTGTGCCATAGTGTCCCACCTGTAACTGATATCCTTATAGATACTAAAACTGTAGGTAAGGATTTTAAGAGAAGGATGAACAAGATCTAGGACAATGCTAACTTGGTTGGGGAAAAGTAAGAGAATAACAGAGCGAGACCATAGGGTGACACTAGGTGATCACCAAGTCCTAGACTTTGTTTTGAGTGATGAATCTGGGCATTTATTCCATTATCCAAAGTAGATAAATCACTAAATCTCAAATGTAGGAAGTCCATGTATGAATCATTGGTGGGGAAATAGATAGTGATTATGGTGAGGGGTGGGGACGTGGAGAGGCCAAGACCCCAACCAACATGGGAGAAAAGACCCTAGAGGCAGAGGCTTGGAGTTTAGGGGCACAGGTGGGTAGCTCAGGACAAAGGGTCCATTGTGATGGCCTACATTAGCCAATGGAACCGGGCATTTGCTCTTGGTACTGCGTGTGAAATTCCCCTGAAATTCTCTTGAAGAGAAATTGAGCCAGATTGTCACACTGCAATTCAAGGGGCAACCTTCACCCTAAGGACAAAAGAATGGAATCAAGTTTCAATCTCTCACTGCTAACAAGAACTGGAGCAACAGCCCACACCCTTGTTCCGTGAGTAGATCAGGTGGAAAACCATGTCTGTGTCGCCTGCATCTCGGCAGCTGAGTAAGACTCCCATACCCAGCATACTCACAGCTTTATGATGTCTGCTCCAAACATGTGAACCAATACATAACACGTGGTCTTCAAGAAGAGTTTTCCTAAGAAACACAAAGTGGAAAATAGAACATGTTTTTATTATGATGAATTTAAACATCAGTTAAACATGATTTTAAACGTGAGTTTATGAGGAGCTAAGGTTGAGTGGTTACTGATTGATTTCAGTGTTTAATTTTAAGGGTTTGGTAATTTTGCAGTAATGTATCTATTAAAATATCATTTCTGTCTATGTTTATGTGAATTTCGCTTTTCTATGTATGCTAAAGCTCAGTATCACCTGCTAACTAATCCTCCTTCTCCACTGGCTGAGTCTACTGTGGAATGCTCTTAATTCCACAGAGGACTTTGCATAGGCAGGTACAGATGCATGGTCTCGGGGAGAGATGAGACCCTGACCAAGGAGAGTTTATCTTGTCCTGCTGCATCACAAGCAGATCTAGGCCTTGCTTGAAAACTGAGGCAGGAACCAGCAGAATAACGTGGTGAACTTTCCCTGGTATTTCAGTTTTACTTAATGGTAAGTAATACTAAATATTATTTTATATTCAAATAGATATAATTATATGATTTTTTTAACAATAAAGCACAAAACTCCCCATTTGTTGTGCTCTTGAGGTAGACAGTTAAACTGTCCCCACATTACTACTGACCTCAGTGAAGTAAAACAATTATAAGGGAATGCTGTGAATATCTGCATAGTAATAAATTAGATAGCGTAGATAAAATGAAAAAAATTCCTAGAAAGACAGAAAATGTAAAAATTAACTCAAGAATAAAGAAATCATTTGAATGGGTGTTAACAAGTAGAAATATTGAACTAGGAATAAAAAAAGATCACAAAGAAAAGTCCAGGACCAGATGCCTTCACTGGTAAATTTTACCAAAAGGAATTTAAACCAATTCTGACCAAATGCTTCTAAGATATGGAAGTTAGAAGGAGGAAGGGCTATTTCTGAATTTATTTCTTGAGGTTAGATTTATCTTGATACCAAGACCAAATATGTGCCTCATTTTGGAAAAAATTACAGACCAAAATTTCTTATAAATATAGCCACAAATACCCTCAACAAAACAAAAGCCAATTGAATGTATAAATACAGAAAAAGTTGTGCAGTATGCAAGTGGGATTTATCCCAAGAATGTGAGATTTTTTAACATCTGAAAATTGACTAATTTACTACATCAGTTGAATAAAGGACAAAAACCATATGATCATCTGATAAATGAATAAAAATGAAACTCAAAAACGTGACTCCATTTATAATATCATTAAAAAGTATTAAATTAAATACTTAGGAGAAATTAAACTAAAAAAGTGCAACATACTCTTTGAAACTACACTGTTAAAAAGGAGTTAAAGAAACATGAATAAATGGAAAGACAGCCTGTGGTTATGGATTAGCAGATTTAGTGTGGTTTGAATGGCAATATTTCTCATTTTGATCCACAGATTGAATACAATCTCTGTCAAAATTCTAACTTCTTTGCAGAACTGATCAGCTGATCCTAACTTTCATGGGGGAAATTCTAGTGACCAAGTGTCTTTGTTATTTTTCTCTCATTGCTGAGACAAAATACCTGACGCCCAAAATTAAGGAAGGAAAGGTTTATTTAGCTCACAGTTTGTGGAGGTTTCAGTCCATACTTGGCTAGCTCCAAGGCAGAGTGGCACATGGCAGAGCACAAATGGTGGAAGATAGCAAAAGTAACAAGAGCTAAAGGGAAGAGTGGCAGCAGGCAGCCTCTTTCCCTCCCTTTACATTGTATGCAAACTATCTGCCCCAGGGTGGGTGTAGCACTCACATCCATAATTCCAACATTGGACTTTGAATCAATCATAACACTAGAAGCCTGCTCCATGACCATGAGGCTCTGGGGGAACACCAAGACACAGACCATAACACCAAAAATAGCTACAATGTTGAACAATAAACAGAGGTTAGAGGATTCATACATCCCAACAGTTGGGAAGAGGGTAGGTATCCCTGAACTCAGTCTGCTTTCTAGAATGACTAAACTGGCATATATGTCTACTTGTATAGCATAATAGAAATATGCATGAATATATGGTGATTGAAAAATATGGCTGATATTCATTTCAGGGAGAGGACTTCACCTTGGATAGTTAGTCTTTGCTGTTATTATCACATGGATAAAAGAAGACCACACATTACAGGTGCCTCTGCGCTGCCATTTCCATCAGAGAGCACAGATGTGAATAACGCACAATTACACCCAGGAAGAGAATACTCTGCATCAGAGAACACACATACATGCACTTATGGTTTATATCTAGGTATCCCACCAAGGCTTCATGCTTTGTTTAAATTAAACAAAAACTTAATACAGTAAAAGACACATTGCCCAGAATGATAGGATAAGTGTGTTTAAAGCAACTGAATATTCTCAAGGGTATTTATGGCAATTTGTCTTCTAATGTAATTTTTAATTTAAATATTCACCATATGTTTTGATCACCCCATATCCTCAGAGCAAATGGTTGCAGGGGAAGACGGATGAACCCTTAGCAGAATCAAAGATGTTTGTGGCAAGATCTGTCCTGGTTTGTGAGAGTATCCTATGTTAGCAACTCTACTTTCTTGATAAAAATTAATTTTCAGGGGGGATTAATTCAGCTGAGTTTCTTTGGAGGTTTTGTACTTAGGCAAATAAGGCAAATTCAGAATCTCTTACTCTATTTATAGACTGGTAATTAATATACTAAATGATGTATGTTATGGTGGTATTTCCTGAACTCCTTTAACACCTAGCTTTCTTTAATGAGCAATTCAAGGATAATCAAAAAAGGTTAAAGATTCAACTATAAATACAATGGAAGAGCTGGGGATTTAGCTCAGCGGCACAGTGCCTTCCCGGTACCGGAAACCCACCCCCCAAAAAATACAACACTTTTAACACAACACTGAAATGACGTAGACATATGACATATGACAAAATGACATATTTTGCATAAAAATTATGCAAAGTATCTAAACAGGTATCTTGCTCAAAAAAGATATATATTGTCACATAAAAGTTGAAAACATGCTGAATATCATTACCTACCAAGGAAATTCAAATCCCACAAATAAGAGATATAACTTCATACCTACTATTATATGCTACAATGAAAGAAGTAATGTGTTGAGAATGTAGAAATTTTAGAAGCCTCACATAATGCTCATAGGAATATAAAATGGTATGGCTTCTCTAGCTATCAGTCACACAAAAACTTATGCTTAAAGGTGCTTAGCAACATATTTTATACCAGCCACTCCAGTGCTCATAAATTAATAGACTGGTGAGATGTTTTTCCCATAAAATGGAATATTATTCAACCATAAAAAGAATAAAGTTCTGACACATGCAACAACATGAAATAACAGTAAAAACACATTAAAAAATTATTCTAAGTGAAAGGAACTATTAGGTTAAGTAAAAGAAATCCACCCCTAAAGATCAAATATCATATGATTCAACTTATGTGAAATGTCTAATAGTAGGCAAATTTCTGGAGACAGAAAGGAGATCAGTGGTTGTCAGGGGATGGGGAAGGTGGTGCTTTGGGAGTGACAGGTAGGGTATATGGAGTTTCTTTTGGCTGTAACAAAAATGTTCTCAAGTTAATTACTGCGATGGATATGCAACATTGTGAATATACTGAAAGCCACTGAATTTTACACTTCAAATGGTTGAATTGTGTGGTGTGTTTTATCTTAATAAAACTGTCAAAAATCACTCATACTCTTCCTGGGTACTCCTTTTCATATTGGTATATGATTGTGATACAGACTATTCACATTTCTTTTGGAGAATAGATACACATACATGTCATATTTTGATCATTTCCAATCACCATTCTTCTTTCTCCTTCCCCTGAGCCCCTTCCCCATCTCCAGAAAGTCTGACTTCCTGTTCCTACAATCTCCCATTTAATTTATTTAGATTTTGACCTCCTGTTAAAAGAGAAACTATGTGATATCTAACTTTCTGTATTTGACTTATTTCACTTAATATTATGGTCCCAAGATACATGCATTTTTCCTGCACATGACATGAATTCATTCTTTATAGCTATAAAAAATTCCACTCTGTTTATAGAATACCTTTTCTTTATCTACTGGATACTCCTTTTAAGGGATGCTATTGTGAAGAGTGTCAAGGAGCTGTGGGGTATGGGACCCCAGACCCAAATTTCTCCACAAATCACTGCCTTCTGCCATGGGGAAGTGTTTCCCTTCTGTGGACTTCAGTATCCTTATCTGAAAAATGTGAAAATGATATTTAGTCCACTTCACATAGTATCTTATATACTTAGCAAATTCTGTAAGAGATATTCAAAATTAACTGGTGGAGCAAGGCAGCTTGGAAGTGAGTTTAAAGTATTGCTCATGTAGAATTAGGTTGCCTGGAGCAGAGCAATTTAAAAATCAATGTTAGGGTGTTCTTTGGTTAACGTGTATTACTGGTTGAAGGAAGAGAATATTCGTCTTCTTTTTGGTAAGACAAGTGTTAGGTGTGTGTGTGTGTGTGCGTGTATGTGTTTCTTCGAATTTTGTTTTTCTCAAGTCACAGTGAAGGGCTGCAGGGTTCACCACACTCTCAGAGTAGGGTTATTTGAACTATCCTTTCCTCTTAGGCCTTCTGTCATTGCTTGCTTGAGACGTCCCTGGAGCAATGGTGTATGGACATGAGATGGGTCTGTCAGCACTAAATCCTGAGACCTTGTTTCCTGAAAATAAGCTCTTACTGGAGAATAACCCACCTTGAAAAGCAGAGATGAAAAATGCCAACCCCAATCAGCCTATCCTTGCTTTACCTGCCTTACAGAGTAACCACCAAGAAAGAGAATAGTAGCGGCAGGTAAGGCAAGAACAACCTGATTGGGGCTGACATTTTTCTCCTCTAGTTTTCAGGGTGATTGTTTTCTGGTTAGGTTTTATTTTCAGGGAATAGGATCAACATGGGAGCAGGCACAGGAGAAATATGTCATCTCTGGAAGGAGCTGAATATCTTCAGTCAGCCAAAACCAGATAGGAACCTGATAGTCATGATATAATGGAAGAAAAGCTTGGCATTAACATTGCTGTATCCCCTTCTTTAAATGCTAGCAAAGTGTAAATGGGGTGGGTAGCCTCCCTACAGTATAAAGGAGGGAAGGAGGCTTGGTCTTTCTGCTCCTGACTTTTGCTTTTGTTGCTTTTGCTGTTTTCCATCAGGAGGAACTGTTCCCTTGTTTCATATGCCACTCTGCCAGCTGAGTATGGACTAAAACCTCCACAAACTGTGAGCTAAATAAATTTTCCCTGTTTAATTTTGGGTGTTGGGTATTCTGTGGCAGCAATGAGAGAGAAGTAACCAAGACTACTACTTTAGCCAAGTTGATATAATTGTTCTAAACAGTTGTTTTCCCTGGTATACCAAGATTGAGATTGCCCAAGGGTCATAAAAATACTACAGGTCAGTGCCAGGGTCAACTAGGCATCAATTTCTTATCCCCAATGAATTGAAGAAGCAGGATCTTACAACAGACTCAAAACTCAAAAGCTAGCTCCACCTAGAAGACACCTCTAAAAAGTAGTTCTTTCCTAAGAGTTCTAAATACTAGTGATAAATATACTCACCATAGTCAATTTACAAACATCAACCCAGGAATTAAACAAAGAAAAACATAGAAAATGAGAAGATACTTTTGTTTAGAAGACACTTAAACAAGATGCAACCCCAGACATCCAGCTAACCAAAGGCAAATCCACGTGCAGTGAGGTCAGACAATATGAAAGCCATCTCCTGGCCTCTCTGAAGGGGTAACAATGGAAGTAATAAAGCAAATAAACAAGGCTCCAGAAAAAACATCAAACCAGAAATAATTTCTCAGATAACTAAAGAGATGGTGACCACAATGAAACACATGCTCAGTGACACTAGAGCACATACAGATAAAAAAATAGAGGCATTTAGGAAAATGATGGAAACGATGAATGCCCAACAAAGGACAGAAAGAGAATCCATAAAACATATTCAAGCAGATACTAGGAGATTAAAAATTCCACTGAAAGCATATTCTGCAGGATGAGCCAGTGTGAGGACAGAATCTCAGATAGAAGACAGTATTGCAGTTAGCCATCATGCAAAGAAAGACTTCTTAAAAATAGTGAGGGACCATGAGAAATCAATTTGGTAGCTGTTAGATGATACAAAGAAGAATAACAGAAGATTGATCAGAGTCAATGAACAAGCAGGAGATAGCACAAACGACATAAAAGCCTGTTCACAGATACCATGGCAGAAAACTTCTCTGACAGGGAAAAAGGATTTTATATACAAATAAGTGAGATATATAGAACTCTAGTTAGCCATGACCAAAAAAACTATAGCAAAGCATATAATAGTCAAGATTCCAGAAATTCAATGCAAGAACAGAATATTAAAAGCTGTTAGTGAAAAGAAACAAATCACATGTAATGGAAACCCCATCAGAATCATATCTAACTTCTCAGTGTAAACCCTCAAGTCAAAGAGAACTTGCAGTTAGGTATTTCAAGCTCTAAGAGAAAGCAACCTCCAGCCCAGACTGATGTTTCCCACAAAACTATCTTTCATAATCGATGGAGAAATAAGATACTTCCATGACAAAGAATACTGAGGAAATACACGAACACCAAGTCAGCACTCCAAAATGTTCTGAAGGACATTCTAGAAACAGATAACAAGGACTACAACTCCGTGAACCCCAACAGAATGAATCCACCAAGCAATGCAAACAAGGAAACAATGGAGAAAAGGGAGCCAAAAACAGGAAAAAAATCAGTTATAACCATTAACGTTAACACCTCAATTCACCAATCAAAAGAAACACACTGTGTACAGTGTTCCAGCCTACAACATCAGAATACACATTCTTCTCAGCTGCACACAGGATGTTCTTCAAAATAGACCATATACTAGCATATAGAGCATGCTTAAGTAAATGTAAAGGAATTGAAATTATTCCGTGCATATTATCAGATCATGGTACAATGAAATTGAAAATCAATGCAAAAGAAACCTCAAAAACCTCATAAACATGTGGGCATGAAATAACACCCTCTGGAACAACGAGTGGGTTACAGATGAAATTAAAAAAAGAAATTAGCTCCTACAATTAAATGCTAATGCTAATATAATATACTGGATCTTATGGAATACGATGAAAGCAGTCCTAGAGGGGAAATTTATAGCAGTGAATACCTATATCAAGAAAACAGACTGAGCCCAATAATAATTTAATATTGAACCTGAAGCTTCTACAAAAAGAAGAGCAAGTCCAGCCCAAACCAAAGGACATATGAGGGAGGAAATTATAAAGATTAGAACAGAAATTAATATGATGAAGACTAAGAAAGCAGTGCAAAGAATCCATGAACCAAAGAGTTGGTTCTTTGAAAGATTAAATAAAATCAACAAACTCTTAGTCAACCTTACCAAGGAAAGAAAATACTCAAATCCATGTAATTAGGAATGAAAAGGGTGAAATGACAAAGGGTCCTGCAGAAATCCAAGAGATCATCTATACCAACTTTGAGAACTTGTATTCTTTTTCTTTTTTTCCTGGGTACTGGGAATCAAACTCGGCATCTTGTACTTGCCAGGCAGGCACTTGTGCCACTAAGGTATATCCCTAGCCAGAGAACTTGTATTCTATTCTAATAAGATGGAAAATGCAGAAGAAATGGACAGATTCTTAGATACATATGAATTAACAAAGCTGAATCAAGCAGACTTAAAAAATGTAAATAAACTAATATCAATTAATGAAATTGAAGTTGTAATTAAAACCCTACCAACAAATAAAAGTCCAGGCCTTGATGGATTCACACTGAATTCTACAAGAAATTTAGAGAAGACCTAATACTGTTACTTCTTAAACTTTTTAATGAAATTGAAAGGGAAATAATACTCCTAAATTCATTTCTGGAAGCAATCATGACCCTGGTACCAAAACCAGAGAAAGACATAACTAAGAAAGAGAACTGCAGGCCAATCTCCCTAATGAACATAAATGCAACATTCCCCAGTAAGGTACTGCTGAAGAGAATGCAGCAAGTTATCAAGAACATTGTACACCATGACCAAGTAGGATACATCCTAGGAATGCAGAGATAGTTCAACATACACAAATCAATAAACGTAATACACCTTATTACAGAGCCAAGGACAAAAACCATGTGATCATCTCAATAGATGCAGAAAAAGCATTTGACAAAGTCCAACACCCATTCGTGATAGAAACCTTACAGAAAATTGGCATAGATGGTCTTTATCTCAGTCTGATTAAAGCCATTTATGACAAACCAACAGCCAACATCATACTAAATGGACAAAAACTGAAAGGTTTCACTTTAAAATCAGGAACAAGACAAGGATGTCCACTTTCTTGGCTCTTATTCAACATAGTTCTCAAAAATTATCCAGAGAAATCATACAAGAGAAAGAAATAAAAGAAATAAGAATAGGAAAGGAAGAAGTTAAATTATCACTGTTCATGGATGACATGGTATTCTACATAGACGACCCCAAAAACTCCACAAAAAGACTTCTAGATTTAATAACCAATTTCAGCAGCTTAGCTGGATACAAAGTTGACATTGAAAAATCAATTGCCTTCCTGTACATGAATAACAGACTTACTGAGAGAGAAATTAGGGAAACAACACCTTTCATAATAGCATTCAAAAAAAAAAAAAAAAAAAAGAAAAGAAAAACCTACAAATCAATCTAAAGGAGGAAATAAAAGACTGCTCTATTGAAAACTACAGTACTCTGGAAAAGAAGATTGAAGAGGATATTGGAAAGTGAAAATATATCCATTACTCTTGGGTAAGACAAACCAATATAAGGAAAATGGCCATACTTCCAAAATTGTTATGCAGATTTAATGCAATCTTGATAAAATAAAAAAAAGCATATCTCACACAATTAGAGAAAACATTCCTAAAATTCATTTGGAACCAGAAGAGACCTAGAATTGTAAAGGCAATTCTTGGCAACAAATGCAAGGCAGGGGACATCTCAGTCCCTGATTTGAAATTATTCTACAAAGCTACTGTGATAAAAACAGCATGGTACAACAAAAAACACCAACCTGAGGATCAGTGGAACAGAGTAGAAGATGTAGAAACAACTCCAGACATGCTCCGCCACCTTATCTTTGACAAAGGTGTCAAACACATTCATTGGAAGAAAGATAGCCTCTTTAATAAATGGTGCTGAAGAAACTGGCTTTCCACACGCCAAAGGTTAAAATTAGATTGATGTCTTTCACCATGCACGAAACTAAAATTGAAATGGATCAAAGATCTAAATACTAAAACAGAAACACTAAATCTGTTGGATGATAGAATAGGTAGAATTCTTCAAGACATTGGTATAGGTAAAGACTTTATGAACAAAACCCCAACTGCACAGGAAGTCTCACAAAAGATCAACAACTGCCATCTCATCTTAGTAAAAAGCCTTTGCACAGCAAAAGAAATCACCAACAGAGTGAAGAAACCACCCACAGTGTGGGAAAAAAATTTTGCCAGTTGATCTTCCAACAAAAATTACTACGTAGAATATACAATGAACTAAAAAAAATCAGAGCCCTCAAATTTAAAGACCCAACCCAAAAATGGATATCTGAAATCAATAAACACTTCTTAGATGAAGAAATAGAAATGAGAAATAAATATGTGAAAAAGTGTTCAAGATCATTGGTCATTTGTGTAATGCAAATTAAAACAACTCTGAGATTCCATCTCACCCCAGCAAAAATGGCCATTCTCAAGAAATTAGCCAATAACAAATGCTGATAGGGCTGTGGGAAAATGAACCCTTTTCTACTGTTGGTGGGAGTGTATACTAGTGCCATCACTGTGGAAATCATTGTGGAGATTCCTCAAAAACTAGGACAGAGGTTCCATTTGACCTAGCTATCCCCCTTCTTGGTATCTTCCCAAAAGAATTAAAAGCATCATAGTGATATATGCACACCCATATTCATAGTGGCACAATTTGTAATAGCCAAACCTTGAAAGCAGCTAAAATGCCCATCAATAGGTGAGTGGATAAAGATGTGGGTTTTTTGTACAATGGAGTACTACTAAGCCATAAAGAAGGATAAGCTTGAGACATTTCTAGGTAAATGAATGTACCTTGAGACCATACTCTTAAATGAAATAAATTAGACACATGTGTAAATATCACATTGTTTCTCCTGTGTGAGAAACTGAAAGTGTAAAAAAGGACACAAATATATAATAGATATTGTGCAATAGGAAGAAAATATTCAAATGTGAGGAGGAACTAGGCAGGGTGGAGGGGGAAAGAAAAGAAAGGGAAAGAGAAAAAAATGAAAAAAGAAAAAATTGAGACAAAGATTTTGTAAATGATAATTGGAAGAGTGGTTGAAGAGAGGGTAGGGGAATGGGAAAAAAAGAATCAATTTATATCAAGGAGAGGTATAAATTCCCTACAATAAATGTGATCATTATGTATACCTAAAATGTAACAATAAAATAATTTTCATTGAGAAAAATATAGATTACTGAACCTGTGCTATTCTTTTATAGCAGCAGCAAACAGGTAAAGCCTCCATCTTAAGTGCAGATTATGCAGTGGAGGTGTAACCATGCCCAGGAAGGCACAAGAGAGTTTGGTTTCCACAGATCCAAAGAACTGGACCTGCAATAACAGGAAACAAGAAAAGGCAGCCATTCCAATGGACAAAGGAGGGTGAAAAAAAGATCAACTGAGCATCATGCATTTGGTGTATATATGTGTGTGTGCAAATGAAACCTAGGCCATTCTAATTTGTAAGTCACATTTATGTTTACTGTTAATTCTTTTCTTACAAGAAACATTTGAGGAAATGGCCATTTTTATCCTGGTTCTATGGGCAATAAAACTGAGGTGCAAAGAGTTTAAAATGCCAGACAGTAAATGGTTCATCGAGGTTGAAGTCTTTTACTCCAAGAGTCAGTGCAATATATAGGATATGCTAGGACATTTTACTTGTTGCCTTTTCTACCTTGGGTAGAGCAGGTGTTCTTATACATTAACTATTAATGAGAAACTTGATGCACAGTGAGACCAATTAACAACATAATATATATTCTAGGCTCCATGAGGTGCCTTCCTTCTTTTCATCTGTGTAATTTTAAACTATCACATTGCATGAAGATAAGCTTTCTGCACAGGTGACCCAAGAAAGTGAAGTTCTACTCAGATATGCAGGGCATAGATTCTGTTGACCCCTACTGAGTGTGGTCCCATTAATCATTTTTTCCATGAACAGTTCTAAGATTCTTCCCAGGTGTTTATTAATGAGAGCCAGAGGCAAGAAGAGTGGGTGAAGCTGAAGGTCAGAAATGCTTTGCAGAATTTGGAAAAACAAAACAAAAAAGCATTCCTAGGCATAACAGAAGGCGATGTGTTTTACTGAATGATCATTCTCAAAAAAAGTTACTTGCAAGCTAAGGTTCTGTGTTTTATTATTATTTAGCTTTAGAGGCAAAAGGTATACTTAAAATAATTTTTAAAATAGTTGACTTTTGATATGTGTAATTTAATTTTTCTTCTATTCCTCATTATCTTGGTTAACCAGACAGAAAACCACATGGGTTCAGGTCAGCACTGTGGACCAGGCCTGCTTTATATTCTAGGAGAAATGCTCAGCTAGGAATAGTCTACTTTTTAAAATCTCATGATATTCATTTCAGCATTCTATGCAGTTTTCTACACCCATAAAATGGGTACAGTAATGATCACTCTGCTTTTATGGCTGGTAAGTGGAATGATGCCTTAATTTCAAGTAAGTGCTTGGTTTCCATATGGAGGTAAAACATTAATACATAAAATTAAAATAAACTGCTCCAATTGAAAAGGCAGCCTACCATGGAAATCCAACTATCTGCCTCCCTTTCCTGGGTGAAGTAGCAGTTCCATTTTTTCTAGAATCTCATGTTTTCTCACTTCTCCTGAGCTAATTCTGACACTTCCTATCTTAGGCTACAGGTGCCAGCATGGTACCTTGGACACCAGTAATCTTGTTCTAGGCTGTTTTACATTTTGCTAATATGTAAAGAAGAGGGAAAAAATAGGAAATAGAGTTTATACTCAGTCTTTTGCTTTTGGACAATTGCATTTAAGAAAGAGAAAACTGGACTCAAGATACAAATAGTTATATTTGTAAGTGTGGCCTATTACATAGAAATGGCAGCCAATTGAAACACTTAATGATAATTGGGTCTGTGCTTCTCTTTTTCCTTTTTCCAAAGTTGTAATAGTATGTCCCTCTTTCTCTGCAACAAACATGTAAAAATATAAAGGAAGTGAATTAGTTCATTTTATGTTGCTATAACAAACTTCCTGAGGCTGAGTACTTTATAAAGAAAAGAGATTTATGTAGAATTCAGGTTTGGAGGCTGAAAGTCTATGATTGGCTGTCCCTCTCTGTTCAGCTCCTGGTGAGGACCCTCCTGGTCACATCACAACATGGCAGAAAAACACATACAGAAGGGGGAGAGCTGTCACATGGTGAGACTGGCAGCAGGAGAGATTCAGAGGCCGGGCCTTACATTTTTCTCGAGACAGGGTCCCACCATGTTGTCTGGGATGATCTTAAAACTCATGGACCAAAATGATCCTCTTGCCTCAACCTCCCTAGTAGGTGGGACTGCAAAGTATTCACTCTCATAACTGGTGAGCTTGCTCTTTTTCTAACAATGTACTGTCTCAAGCACTAATGCTTTCCATGAGACCAGTGCAACCCCACTGCAGAGTGATACCTGCCATGACCTCATTGCCTTGTAGTGGACTCTACTTCTCAGAGGTTCCCCTACCTCAGCACTGCTGTACTGGAGATTAGGACCCCAGCACAGGAATGTTTTGGGGACACACTCAAGCCATAGCTAGAACACAGCAGTAGGATTTACAGTAGGTTGTATGAATGTCCAGTAATAGGGGATAAAGCAGTGAGATACAGGGCTTATATGGAAGAGACTACAGAGTAATTTGGAAGGCTTAATCCCAGTCTATGTGCCTTAACATGCATTGGTCTTACAAACTTAGTATTGAGTGAAGAACGGAAGTTGCAAAGCAGTACATACCATAGACCATGGCTGGAAAATTAAAGCCTTTGCAAGGGAGAGTTATGGAGAGGAGATGGATGCAGGCAGAGTTCTAGAGTCTTTTTGAATACACACACACACACACACACACACACACACATGCAGGCATGCACACACTGTACTTGGATAGCTGTGTTAGTCAGCTTTGTATTATCAACACAAAATACCTAAGAGAAACAATTTAAAGGAAGAAAGTTCTGGCTTTCAGTCCACAACCAGCCAGCTCCATTGCTTTCAGGCCTGAGATGAAGTGGCACATCACAGTGGGAGAACTCGGCTCAGCAAACAGCTCTCCTCATGGCAGCTGGGAAGCAGAGACAGAGAGAAAAGTCCAGGTCCCCAATACACTTTTCCTGGCCACAGCTCCAATGACCTACTTTCTCCAACGAAACCCCACCCTAAAGTTTCTACCACTTTCCAGTAGCACCACCAACTGGAACCATGCCTCCAGCACACGAACTTTGGGGGGATATTTAATATTCAAATAATAGGGCCTGGGTTGTAGCTAGCTCAGCATCACAGTGCCTGCTTGGCAAATATGAGGTCTTGAGTTCGATTCCTGGTACCCGCCAAAAAAAAAAAAAAAAATCCAAATCACACCCAAAACCTCACAGGCAACAGTAACAACAGAACTAGAATCCCAGCATCCTCTTAGATGAGGATGTGGATGTGTTGCTACTCACAACCACAACACCTGCAGCTTATGAACATCTATACCAGAGAAAGGGAAAGAAAGCAATGAATTCAGGCAAAGCCAAGAGAAGAGAATCGCCACAGAGCTGCCAGCTATTAGCTAGAGTGCTCAGTGAGACAATGAGAGCACAGCGGCTGAGGTTGGTAGGGGCTTTGCCCGCAGCAATGGCAGGTGGGTTTCAGGGGCTCAAGGTCAGCGACACTAAAGGGTCAGAGTCATCTAGAAAAGGACCCACCCAAGCTTCCTTCCAAGGCCCACACTGAGGAGAAACTTCTGGGTTTGGATCAAGATTGAACCAGACAGAAATAAAGCATAAAGGGATTCCAGATAAAAGTGGGCAGCAGAGCAGAGTCCGGGTCTCAGAAAGCTAGCTAACCTATATTTTTAAACATGACACGGAAACAACAAAAGAAGGAGCACTGTGCATTTAGAAAAGCTAACCTGAACCACCTCTTTCTCAGAGTTTTTGAAAACTAATTTCACATAAAAATGAACAACAGAAATGTATCTAGGTCAATTCCCATACAGAGTTATTATAAGAAGAAAAGAATAAGGAACAGAATAGCATCCCTGCAGATAGTCAAAGCATGCCAGGAAGTCATGCCAAAAAAGATTAAAACATAACATTATTCTAAAATGAGCTAAGAGGCATTAATAACACGATATAAGACATGAAAGAATATCAGAAACAGAATTAGAAAACTCAGCCGTGGAATGAAAGGACTCAGGGAAGAATACAATTATCAAAGAAATGAAGTTTAAACTGCATTGAGCACAAGAAGAAGTGAAGACAATAGACGATGTAAGAGAAATAAAAGATGAGAGGAGGAATAATTCTGAGATTAAAAAATAAATGAAAAGCTAGGCATGGTGGTACAATGGGATCATAAGTCCTAGCCCAGCATGGGCAACTTTGCAAGACCCTTTCTTGAAATAAAATGGGTGAAGATAGCTAAGTGCAAAGACCCCCGGTTCAGTCTCTAGTACCACATAATAAAATGTAGTAAATGATGAAATAACAGGTGTCCAAGAGATAAAATACTCTATCAAAGACAAGCAGTGCAGAGAGTCAATATATGGATAATAGAAACCCAAGACGAATAAAACCAAGTCAAAGGAACTGAGGAAATACTCAAACTGAAATTAGATGATATATACTTTCCAGAAATTAGATGATATATACTTCCCAGAAATTAGATGATATATACTTCAAACCAGATATTGAGGGAGCACTGTATGCTTGAAAATATCAGCAAATGAAAATTAACACCAGGACATTTTCTAGTTAGGTGACTAACCCTTATGGGAAATGAGAGAAGAATATTCATTGTATTTCTAGGCAAAAGCAGCAAGTGACTTATAAGGAAAAAAACTGATTATCATTAGGCTTTTAATAATAAGTTTAAGGGCCAGGGATGTAGCTCAGTGGCACAAGCGACTGCCTGGCAAGTGCCAGCTCCTGAGTTTGATGCTCTGTACCAATAATAATAATAATAATAATAATAATAATAATAATAATAATATATTTAAGCTGCTTGGTGAAAGAAATTGTGTGGCAAGTGTTTTCATCTCTAGAAAAATGCTGACTTTCAAGGATAAGAGCACAGATGGCCCATTATCAACATGCAGGATTCAGGGAATATTGTTCCTGTGTGCCCTTTCTGAGGCTTGAACTTCAGACAACAATGCGAGTAGAGGCACATTCACTCAAGGTTGGGGGCAAACACGAATCATTCACTTTCTGGAGGAGCTAAAGCTAAATGAGGATGAAAGGGAATGGATGTTCCGTGTAATTGCTCTAAGCTCAGGTAACAGGGCTCCGAGATTTAAAATGGTGGAGAAATGAGAAAAGCATATGCAAAACACTGTTTAGCTGTTCTCGATAGTTATGAAATATATTAATGATGGTAGTATTAGGACTGATAATCTGACACTGCTATGTGTACGGGGAAGAATAGGTAAACGAGTAAGCTCTGGATATTTTAATCTGATCAATCACCCTGTCCTTGGCAATTATGACTTTAGAAAGGAGACACACAGATATGACACTGAGGAGATTTTAAAAAACTTCTATAGTTTTGTGTTTGAATTTAAAGTGTCACTATGTATTAATCAGGGACTGCTATAGTTTGGAATTAGAATGTTCCAGATGTCTCCTGTGTTCTGAGGTTGAATTTTGGAAGGTGATTCGATCATGGAGGCATTATACTCGCCAGTGACTTGACCCACTGATGAGCTCATGGTTAAATGTGCTGTTAGGAGATAGGACCATGTCAGAGGCGGTGGGTCAATGGGGGTGTGCCTTTGGAAAATTTATCTGTCACCCCGGTTCCTCCTTTCTTCCTCTGCTTCCTGGCTGCTGTAAGTTGACCCTTCCACCGTAATGTCTCTGCTTTCTAGCCAGCCAACCACGGACTAAATCCCTTACATGATGAGCCAAATTAGACCTCTCCTCTTTTAAATTGTGGTTATTACATCCCAGCAACAGGAAAGCTGATGAATGCAGATATTTTACGTTAAAAATTTTATATGCAAATGTATATACATATATTTTACTGCTCATAAAAAAAACCTAGAAAAAATTACCAGTCTGTAGCAATGAGTATCGTTAAGCACCCAGACGGTGGCTTTGAAATAGTATTTTTCACTAAAAGAAACTAGAGCTTCTCTGAGAAATGACTGATGTTAAGCCTGGGATTGGAAAAATACAATACAAGGCTGGAACACCTTGCTGCTTTAGTTCCTGAGGGTTTCTGTCCAAGGTCACAGCCACTCAGGAATCAAACTAAGAGTCTCCCACTGGCCAAAGATGGGGTCATTTGATCATTAAGAGGATTGCAAGTGACTAAGCCCTCCTGTATGCTGAAATTCATGAGTTCATTAATATGTTTTAGAAAACCAGTTGATTATTTTGGAATAATAATATAAAATCAATTAATGAATAAAAATAAATGATAAATAGAAAATTCTAATTGTACCTTCCAATAAATTAATAAATGTTATCATTGAGCACCAGCAGCAGGTAAAAACCACAATGAGGCAGAAAGAGAGAGGTTGAGAGAGGGGGGAGAGAGAGAGAGAGAGAGAGAGAGAGAGAGAGAGAGAGAGAGAGAGATTACATAATCTTGCCAAAGGAATCAAAGAAGTTCAACCACAACTGTGGGTCCAGCTGTTAATGTTCAGGAAATATAGGGCAAAGAGAATATCATTTATATCATAAGGATGTAATCAATATCGTACAGACAGAGAAGCTGCAAGTCAAATTCCACAGCTAAACTGGAAGGAAAAGAGGAGGATATAAAAGAAAGTTGTAGATTAAAATAGATTTAGAAGGCACATCAAAACTGCAAAAACTAGGCAAGACTGGTAACTATGGATGCTCACTAGGGCGACAAAACTATAAAATGCAAGTAAACAATTGCCATAAAATTCAGGACATTATTCTATTGGGGTGGGGCTCAGAGAGGCTTGTGATAGCAGGGGGCATGTGGGTGGGACTTTTGGGGGAGGCCATTTATTTGTTATTTCTTGACTTGGGCTATGTTTGCAAGAGCATTCACATTTCAATAGCTTTACATTGCATGGTTTTCTACATTTGTTTTATACAGAAAAGACTAAATATATCATTGATGAAACAAATTATATGTTGTTTATGTATTTATACAAGTGAATATCAGAGTACAGAATTTGACAAGAGCAATATTTGTTAAGTTCAAGTCAGTTATTCCTCATAGGGAAGTGGAAGGGAAATGGAACAGGAGGTAGGGGAAGTCAAAGGTGTTTTAAATTTAAATGCTGTGTTTTCTTTACTAAAAGAAAGATTTGATGTAAATATGTCAAAATCTTAACAATGATCAATTTGCAATGTTGTAAACACAAGCGTTTTTCTGTTATCCTCTCCTAGTCTTTATTTTCAAGTTCTGAACATTTTATCCTGTGAGGGAATACTGCATATAATAAATTCTCTGAAAATTCTCTGGTGCTATTGGCATTGTGTGCTATATTAATCAAAGATACACTAACCATTAGTACAATCACCTTATTTCACAGAAAATGTCATGTAGGATCTTTGGTAGAGTAGCACTAAGTGAAAGAAAATTTGACTCTTAAAATATTTATTCATTACCACTGCTCATATAATAGTATTCTATAAAGAAATGGATTTTTCCTTTTCTTAAGGCTGAGAAACAATTGTACAATTTTTTTGAGCCACTGATCATTTCCTTCTTTTGAAGGATGAATAAAGGACTTTGCTGAGATCCAGTTGACTCCAATGGAATGTTACAGATTTTTCCCAGTTTGGGGTTTTGAGACCAGTTATCTTTCTAGCTTGAAGTTCTGTGTCCATAGATATGCATATACAAGTTAACATAACATTATTGACATTACTCATTATTCTGACATTTTAGTACTTAAGGCCTCTGATCACCTCTTAACAAACCATTATTAATGTGATACATAAATTGACAATTGGACGTTCAACATTTTATTCTCTAATTTTCCACAGCAATTTTATTCCGCCATGATGGAAAATGCATGTCAGGGAGGGCCAGACATATAGCTCAGTGGCATAAGCGCCTGCCTGGCAAGTTCAAGGACCTGAGTTTGATTCCTGGCACCAAAAACAACAACAACAACAACAACAAAAAGCATGTCAGGGAGAAACTTCCTAGAGTGCTTTATTATTTTAATTTCTATGAGTCTCATCATAATATTGACCCACAGAAATAAGACAATCCAGTCTATCCCATAAACACATGTGGGGTATAGTCTTGCCAATTCAGGAGTGAGCAGACAAGCAGACACAGCAGCAAGACCCTGCCATACTTACCAGGCAAGTAGCCACACAGTCTCTCCATTGAGGCCTCCACTGTAGAGCTGTGAACTTGAGCCAGCTGTGTGATCACAGACACCACCACTACACACCCTACAAGGAGCAAAAGAACAGGTGAGCAATGCCCCACAAGAAGCTGGGCTAGGAGGTCAGGGAAAGAAAGTGTGCATGTGTCTTTGACGATAGAAGCATCACCAAAACAGAGCTTTTCTTTGCTTTTTGCCTTTAGGAAACTTCTGTGTGGGCTGCCGCACTATGAATTGTCTTGAAATGTGAAAGCTAACGAGAAGATTGTGGATTGGGGGGTCAGAAAGTGGGGTGATCAGTTTTGTCACTTGTGATCTTTGTGACTTTGGGTGAATAATTTAATTTTCCTTAATTTCTATTTCTTTTTAGTCACATGGGAGAAACGGATGATGTTTAAATGGGATAGTACAAATAAAGTAAACTATTCAGAGTAGAAGCTGGATACTAGCTTCTCTTTTCTCTATTTTTTTCTTCCCTTCTGCAGTACATGGCTTCATTATGAATAGGATCATTCCAAGCATACATAATTTCAGCACAGAAAGCAGGGCTAGATCTTTCATTCTGGAACTGTCAGTAGTGGAAATTGTCTGGAAAATCCATCAATGAGTCCTAACCTTGTAACCATGGACTGATCATCTAGTTTTCCTGAGCTTTGGCTTCCTCCTTAAAAAGCAAGCAGTGCAATGTTTCCCATATGGAATGCTGTGATGATTAAATGCAATAACAATGCAACTGGATATGCCTTTGAAGTCACACCATATTGTAAAATACTATTTTATCTCAAGCTACAAAGCACATTATTGAAAATAAGTACCAATACAGTAAAGATCTAAAAGGGAATTTAGATTAAGTTAGGAATATATTCCTTTACCTCACCTGATGTGTGATAAATTTGCATGCACAGACTTCTAGGCTGAAATTTCTAGAAGTTTCTATTTATGCCTCGACCTACAGAATTGGTGGGGAAGCCCACGCATCCTTTTTCCAAGGGTAAGGAATACTGTTTTTTATACATAAGCACTGTAGTTAGTCCAAGTTCTGTAAATGTGTGAGAAGAAGTTGTTACAGCCTATTGAGATAATAGAAGTGGGCACTTGTCAGCAGATTTCTAAAAAGGCAAAAGAAGAGGCTCCATCATGGAGAAGTTCAGTAGAAACTTTAGGAACACAGGAAGTTCCAGATGCTGAACCCAGTTATGGATTTATTATTATCCATCTTCTCAAGGAGATGGGGACCTCTTTTATGTACACAGTGTTGTCAAAATCAAATTCTCATCAAGACCCTGGAGAGAAGATGGCTCATAGAAAATGCAAACAGTGCAATAGGGCATTTCTATGAACTTCAAGCTAAATATTATCAGAAGAGACAAAGAAGGTCACTACATATTAGTTAATATAACAACTCAACAGGAAGAGATAGCAATTATAAATATATATGCACTGAATACTAGTGCACCTAATTTCATAAAACAAACACTGTTTGACGTGAAAGATTAAATAAACACCAACACAATCACAGAAGGTGACCTCAACACTCCTTTTGACAAATAGATCAAGTGAACAAAAAATTAACAAAGAAATATCAGAGCTGAACTATGTATCTGAACAAATAGACTTAATAAATATCTACAGTGTTGTACCTCACCACAACAGAATATACATTCTTCTCAAAAGCACACAAAACTTTCTCTGAGATAAACATATTAGTCCATAATGTCTGTTTAAATAAATACAAAATAATCAAAATCATTCCACATATGCTATCAGATCACAGAACACTGAATCTAGAAATCAATTGCAAAAAAAAAAAAAAAAAAAAAACCACAGAATTTTTACAAATGCCAGGATGTTAAATAACAAATTCCTGAACACTCAGTAGGTCACAGAAGAAATCAAGCAGGAAATTAAACAATTCCTAAAACCAAACAATAACACTAGTACAATATGTCAGAACCTATAGGACACAATGAAAATAATACTAAGAGAGAAGCTTTTTCATTGTGAATGCTCACAAAAATAAAACAAAACAAGCCCAAATAACATAGAGAAAAACCTCAAACTAAAAGAAACTACTACTAGAAAAACAGGTACACTCCAAACCCAAACCTAACACAGGGAAGAAAATCATAAAGACCAGAGAGTAACGTAGCAAAATGAAGACTAAAAAATTACAAAGAATCAATGAATAAAAGAGGTTGCTCTTTGAAAGAATAAACAAAATAGACAATCTCATAGCCCTACTTACCAAAAGAAGGAAAGAGAAGACCCACATCAATGCAATTAGAAATGAAAAAGGTGAAATGACAATGGATATCACAGAAATCCAGAAGGGCATTAGTAACTATTTTGAAAAATTATACTTAAAAAATTGGACAATCTTCAAGAAATGGACAGATGACTAGACATGTAATAATTGCCAAAAGTGAACCAAGAAGGCATGAAATCTCTGAACAGTCCAATGGTAGCCAATAAAACTGACACAGTAGTTTAAAAATTTACCAACTAGGAAAAACCAAGACCTGATGTATTTACCACTGAATTCTACATAACCTTCAGGGGGCATATAATGCCAAAACTCTTCAAACTCTGATAGTATTGAAATGAAAGGAGCACTTCCAAGCTAATTTCTGGAAGCTAACAATGTGGTCCAAAACCAGACGCAAACTCAACTAAAAAGGACAATTACAGGTCAATCTGTTTAATAAATGTAGATGCAAAGTCCTCAAAAAGATACTAGCAAACAGAATTCAATAAATCATCAAAAAGACCAGTCTTTGACACACTGCATATTTGGAGGGATCAGAAACGAACATGTTCCTCCCTTCAGGGAGGAACCCCATATTGTGTAGTGAGCTTGTTTCATTTCCACCACCCCTTTAAAAGGCATTAGTATCTATGTGTTATTTTATACCTTCTTCTTTCCTGATCATTGCCTGTGAATCATTCCAGAATCTCCTCAAAACCTTTAATCCTTGTGAAACCTCATGTTCTGTCTCCGATCAGAATACATGGGACCCTCTTATACCTTAACCAGTAGTATATAGTTGTCATCCTTCTATATTAGAGGATTACTTCTAGGATCTCTCTACACCTAAGTAGCAAAATATGTAGATGTTCAAGTCTCTCATATTAGATAGTTCAGTACTATTAGCATATCATCTACACACATCTTCTGTAGACTTAAAATCCTCTCCAGGATACTTCTAATGCCGATTATGATAGAAATGCTGTATGAATAGTTGCTGTATGCTATTACTTAGGGAATTATGACAAGAAAAAAGTCTGTTATGTTCAATACAGAAAGTATTTTTCAAAAAAGTGTTTTTATACTGAGTTTCTTTTTGTTTTTTTTAATACAACCCAGAGCTTTTGCTCTGAGCTACATCCCTAGCCCTTTAATTTTTTTTTTTTAAGTTTTAAAGCAAGATGTCACTAAATGGCTAAGTTGCCCAGACTGGACCAAAACCTGCAATCTTCCTGCCTCAGCCTCCAAGAGTGCTGAGATTACAGGAATGTACTACCATGCCCGGCTCTTGAATATTGTTGATTCAAGGTTGGCTGAATCCACAGAGGTGGTACCCACCAATATTGAGGGTCAGCCATACTCATCACACTGGGTTGGTGTTAGGTGCTGCTCTGAGCAAAGTCAGCAACCTTCTTCTACTCCAGTCTAGCACTGTGTTTGTGCAAGAGCTCCACACATGTTTGCCACATGGATGAGTGAAAGGAAACACTCATGGGAATTCCCCCTCTGCACCTGAGGAGAACACTACTGCCTCTTCCTGGAGCTGTGCATGGGAAAGTCTATGTGAGACTACATAAGTAGCTGGAGCATCTCTGACAGTTTCTGTCTTTTCTGGCTCTAGGGGTTTAAAGCCATAGGTAGATTGTCTGAATATTAGAGGAGTCTTCCAACATTACCTTGAATAAAAGAAGCATGCATCCAACCAATAGTTACAAGAAGCTTACCAAGAAACTGCTAGGCTTTGGTGACCGCAAACAGAGTGTGACCCCTGTTCGCAGGGGCTCCTACTATGCTTCTCAAATGCACACAAACTAGATGGTAAACACCTATCAAATGTCTGGTCAGATTTCACAGAGACTTTGGCAGAACAGGTGGGAGAATAGGCATCCATTCCCAGGAGAAAAACAAGATCTGGTGGCCTGGAAGAGCTCAGTGCATTTCTCCATATTTTTTGCAGTCTAAGTAGTGGCAAATTTTCCTCCTCCTTGGTACCTAAAATAGTAGTTTCTTATAATTATTGGCATCACAGACTGGATGAGATGCCAGAACTGGGAAGCTAAAATTAGTTAGGGGAGCATGAATATTGGGTGAGCAATAATAATGCAATGGGAGAGGCCTCTTGAAATTTGACCTTAAGGACTGTCCGTCTCCTTTTCCTGAAACTTCTACTCCAGCATATATTTTAATGTTTTAATGCACGTTTTAACCCATGGCTTAGAAGGATGAATGCCAAAAAAAAATTGAGCTGCTGGAGACCAACTTGTGCCTTTGTACTTACAAATACATACTTTTCTTTTGAGTTTTACTCAGAGAAATCCCATCAAAGACTCCGGGCTGCTGTAGCTCCCTCGTACTGCCGGCTTAAATTGGAAAATCATTAGGTAGATAAAAAGGAGCCACAAAGAGGCCAGCTGTCTCTGAAGACCGGGTGAATCTTACCACTCTCACTTTACCTGGTGAAGAGTTATTATGATCAAAAGGCCCCTGCATAAAAGCAGGTAATGGGGTTTGAAATCATGGGCACCCAGGTTGGGCTCAGCCTTGGTGGGAGCCCATCCCCGCCCAGCTCCAGTGGGCTCGACTCCCCTTTTCATGGGATTGTCATTGTATAGTCTGCAGTGAGGAGTATCTTGGATCCGTTAGCAGCAAGAATGGAGAAACTGACTATTCTGTGGTTTCTAATAAGAGGCTGCACGGCCTTGAGAAGCTAACAATGTTTCCCTGGGAGAGACGCGGGGGTTGAGAAATCCCCTTGTCTGCAGATGATTCTTTGGCTGCTCATAAAAAGCCTGGCTCTGTTGAAAGGAGTTTGTCCAGGCTGT